TGCAGTAGATAGATAGATAGATAGATAGATAGATAGATAGATAGATAGATAGATAGATAGATAGATAGATAGATAGATAGATAGATATAGAAACACAAGGAAGTCCAGTGGCCTCTTGACAGAGCACCTTTGGTGCTGAAGACTTGCGATTCATGCTTCTGTTCTGTTGTCCTCCTTCCTTTAAGGGACAGCAGCATCCAGCCTTGGCCACGCAGAGCCAGAAGAAGTTCCATGCTTCAGAGTGTCCTGCAGGCCACCCCATCTTCTCTGACCCCAAGATGCATTTCGGGAACTTCTCCGTCGCCCTCGCCACCGAACGCTCTCCTGAAGAGCTGGCTCCCACCAACGTCTCCACCAGGGACGCCTGCCTCCTCCGCTTCTCCAGCCATCAGTTTTTGCTCATCCCCGTGCTCTACTGTGTCATCTTCATCCTTGGGCTTGTGGGCAACAGCATGGTCCTCACGGCCCTGTGTCGGCAGAGGAGCCCAAAGACGGTGGCCAACGTCTACATCTTCAACCTAGCAGCGGCTGACCTGCTGGCCCTCGCCACCCTTCCCTTCTGGGCAGCCAGCTATGCCAACGGGTACAACTGGGTCTTTGGCTCCCTGATGTGCAAGCTGTCCGGCTCCATCCTCTGCTTGACCATGTTCGCAAGCATCTTCTTCATAACCTGCCTGAGTGTCAACCGCTACCAGGCCATTGTCCATCCTTTCCAGTGCCAGCAGGGGACTTTGAAACGGGCCTTCATCGCCACCTTCGCCGTTTGGGGCCTGGCCACCTTGACGTCTCTGCCCACCTTCTGTTGGCGTGAAGTCAACTACATCGACGAGCTGGGCGTCAACGCTTGTATCATGGCCTACCCCTCCGAGAATTACGCCACCTGGTCGGCTGCCACAGCCTTAATGAAGAACCTCCTTGGCTTCCTGCTCCCCATGGCCATCATCCTTGGGTGTTACATCTGCATCAGGGTGCACCTGAAGAAGGCCCAGGGGTTCTCCAAAAGCATGAGGGTCAGGGACCGGGTGCTGAAGCTGGTGGCCGCCGTGGTGGTGGCCTTCTTGATCTGCTGGCTCCCCTTCCACGTCTTGACCTTCCTGGATGCCCTCTCCTGGATGGAGGTGATCAGCAGGTGCCACCTCACCTCCGTGATCGACGCGGTGCTGCCCTTCGGCCTCTCCATGGGCTTTGCAAACAGTTGCATCAACCCTTTATTGTACTATTTTGTGGGAAGTCAGTTCCGGGATAAACTCCAGCATTTATTCAAGCTGAGCCTTTCCCGGTTCAACAGTGGCCGGGAAACACTTTCCTCCAGCAAAACCAGTTCCCTCAAGACTGTGGGCTCCTTGAAGGTGGCTAACCAGGAGGAGACACGGAGAGGCCACTGACCCACCCTCTGTGGGTTCCCTAATCACCAATTAAGCGGTGGTTACGTCCCCCTCCATGACTCATGTTTTTCCTCTGGTCTCTGGTCTCCCAAAGACCATGTTTTCATTTGCTTTGAGTAAGGCTGTCTTGTAGAGGGCAATGAATTGTCAATAAATATCTTCGCAACTTTACTAACCCAGCCTATTTCTGTGACTAAAGTTTGTTTTTCGTGGCCCTTAAGAGAAGGAGTTGGCAAAGAAACTTAACTTTCAACACCCTTCCTATTCTTTTTTTTTATAGCAGATTTTTTAAAATTATTTTTCCCCTTCTACAACACCTTACAATCATTACATCAACATTGTTATGTCATCATACCTGTA